GTACGTAAACTTATCAAAAAGATCTTGAAGGGTTTGTTTGATATTCTACGATCAACCGAAACATTAGAAAAAGTATTGTTTATAAATCTATCTGCAATATCTTTAATATGCGATATCTTTAATTTGAGAATTTTGTTCAATTTCTCAAAAGCACATAACAGTGGATTCTTTAATACATCATATCAAGCATACTTTATTGCATTGCTTTACTGGAATATTCGACTGTTCGACTTGTAGAAAGGTTAAAAAGATTTCGGTATATTGCGTAATATGTAAAATATTAATTATTCAAGCACATAAGACCAATCTCTTTTTCCAAAGATAACCACCAATGCTAGTTATAGCTAACAACGACAACAAATGGAGGGAATGCTCCGATTTCCTTACATTTTTTTTTTTTACTTTTCATTACTAGGAGTTAAGAAAATATAACGTTATGAACAAAAAACGCCTATAAATGTTATTAATTGATTGCATTATAAATTAACATGCATATATACTCAGTCTACTGCATAATCACAAAGCCTTCTTGCATGCAGTTTCATGCAATCACAGACAATTTTTATGCAGGGCACATTGGATAATTTATTCATAATGAAATGTATAGTTGACGATAAAGGAGGTTAAAAAAAAACAAAAAAATAAAAAAAAAACAGTAGTGAATTTAAATTTATAAGAATTAAAAAAAAATGAAAATTGATTGGGTCAAGAACCCGATCCAACTAAAATAGACACGAGATTCAAAATTTATGCAAAAATAAATATTTGATTGGTACATATATAAAAAGGAGTGTGATAATATGAAAGGTGATTAAATCGAAGATTATTAGTAGCTAAGAAATTGATGAATCGGTTAATGAAATGATGAGTTACTCGCATGCATTCAGCCAGCATTCAGTGGAGTACGTATAATTTGCTACCATTATCATTCAATTAAAACGCGTTTACAGTTTATTTACGCGACAGTTGCATTTTATCATTTTATCAACAGTATTGACACAAACTAAATTTATCGAACAACATATATGATGACTAATTTAAAACTCAGATTAATTAAAAATAAACACCGAAAATGTTGAAGAGTACGTAATAAACTATTTTTTTATGAGTTTAACAGAAAAAAAAAATTTCATGTGATGTAATCGTCTTCCGAGATTGACAAAGTTAGGTAAAGTTAGACAAGTTAGGCAAGTTAGGCAAAGTTAGACAAAGTTAGACAAAGTTAGGTCGTGATAATAAATCAAGATTGAAAGTAAACCTATTAAAAGAATGATTAAAATAACTATTAAAGTATACAATATATTTTAAAAAATTACAGTTAGGAGGCTTAGTTAGCATTGGTAACAAGTCAGCCTTCAAACCCTAAATCATTTAAATCATTTAAATCATTTAATCATTTAATCATTTGTAATTATATGCTATACTAAATCATAACATAAATCAAGTTAAGTTCCCCCACAATGATAAACCATAACGCAATTACCCGCAAAATCTGCAGCTGTTATTTGTTCTTAAAACCATCTTATCGTGATTTAGGACGGTTCAGAAATATGGCGTCCTTTATGAAGCTAAGTTAAATCAAAATCTAATAGCACACTGCAAACCCTTGTATAAATTTAATTGACTGATAAATATCTTTGATTGTCGATTTTTTTGAAACGCATAATAAAGATGCAAGATTAACCCCCTTAAAAATAAACAATGCCAATCATTGCTTTTAACTTGAATAAATATTTA